ATGCCATCTATGAAAATCGGGCACGAACTTATGCAATCATCCAATATATATATATATATATATACTTATATTAAAGTGGTCGCTAAAAAAAAAATTGTCGCTGCCGCCCCCTAAAAGAGTAGTAATTGATTAAAAAAAAAGTTCTGTAAAACTCCAAGTTTGTAAATTAAAGTGTACAGGTGCCTCTTGAAAAGAGAAGTTTGGAAGATGTTCTTTTTTATTTTTGCTTTGTTAATTAGCTGTATCAGCAGTTAAGAAATTTTTTTTGCAGTGCGACAAGACAATCGAATTTTAATGAATTATTTTATCAATCATACAAAAAAAAATTTCTTAACTGCTGGGTTGCGTTCGAGAACATCACCTGTGCACCGATCGTCGTTCTATCTTTGTTATTTACTGAAAGTTGAACAAAGATAAAACCATGTGCTCGTGTGCACATGGGTGATGTTCTCGAACGCGGCTCCGATACAGCTAATTAACAAAGCAAAAATAAAAAAAACATCTTCCAAACTTCTATTTTCAAGAGACACCTGTTTACTTTAATTTATAGACTTGGGGTTTTACAGAACTTTTTTTTATCAATTACTAGTCTTTTAGGGGGCGGCAGCGATCTTTTTTTTTTAACGACCACCCTAATATATATATGTATACATATATACAGGGGATGTCCCATTTTAAATAGTCGAACCGAATATCTTTAAAACTAAATCCGATAGACAAAAATGTTTCAGACAAAAGTTTGGTTTTAAGAGGGCCACATGATGAAAATATGGACTTGACCTTGAGTGACATTTTCAAGGTGAAGTCAATGTGATCGATGTTTTCTTAAATGGAATTCCCCATTTTTTATTAGTACTTAATGAAAAAATACTTTATTATAGTGTTTTGAAAAGCTCTCGAGATAAGCTACAAGAATATGCAGTAAAAAATGGAAAGTTCCACTTAAAAAAACATCGATCACATTGACCTCACCTTGAAAAAATCATTCAAGGTCAAGTTCATATTTTCATCATGTGACTCCCTCGAAACCATGCAACTTTTGTCTGAAATATTTTTGTCTATCGGGCTCAGTTTTCGAGATATTTGGTTCGACTGTTTAAAATAGGACATCCTGTATACAGGATGTCCGGTAAAGATTGTGCCAACGCTCGTGAGCTGATAGAGCACAGTAAACTGAACAGAAAAGTCCTGTAACATTTTTTCTATAACGCTTAATAAAGGAGTTATTATTGAATAAAGTCTGCCAATCAGCGCCGACCTTTAGCCGTGCGCCTGGTAGTGTGCGTGAGCGCTCCGTCGCTACGGCGGCGCACACTACCAGTTACCAGGGCGACCCACCGACGTGCGTCCGGCTAAAAGTCGGCGCTGATTGACCAGACTTTACTCAATAATAACTCCTTTATTAAGCGTTATAGAAAAAAATGTTATAGGACTTTTCTGTTCAGTTTACTGTGCTCTACCCGCTCACGAGCGTTGGCACAATCTTTACATATTTTATATATACTATATATATATACAGGGTGACTCGCAATGACCGCCCACTAAGTACATAGCATTATTCTTTACCAAAAACTGAGACGAAAAGTCCTGAGCCATTTTTTTTATAACGCTTAATAAAAAAGTTATTATTGAGTAAAATCTAGCCAATCAGCGCCGACCTTTAGCCGGGCACACGTCGGTGAACCGCGCGCCGTGAAGTGTGTGCCGCCGCATACTAGCAGGCGCGCGGCTCACCGACCTACGCCTGGCTAAAGATCGGCACTGATTGGCCAGACTTTACTCAATAATTACTCCTTTATTAAGCGTTATAAAAAAAATGGCTCAGAACTTTTTGTCTCAATTTTTGATAAGGAATAACACTATGTACTTAGTGGGCGGTCATTGCGGGTCATCCTGTATATACAGAGTGTACCGTAAAGACCGGATCAATGCTTAAGGGTAGATTCCTGAGATCATTTTAAGATGATTTTTTCTCAGCAAAAATATCGAGGCATCAATAATTTCCGTGTTATAAGCGATTCAAAAAGAAGGGCTTTTTGCAAACTAAACTTTATAGAGAGTTAAAATCATATTCTTTAGTTAATTTCAAATAGAGTTTACTTTAATAGAGAGAGAGAATTTTAATTTAAGGCTTGGTTACAAAGATGTATGATGGAAAAAATTGGAAACTTGCAAAAAATGATGACCTCTCTCGACATTTTCGTTGAGGAAAAATCATCTTAAAATGATTTCAGGAATTTACCCTTAAGCGTTGATCCGGTCTTTACGGTACACCCTGTATATATGATGATCATGTTATAATTAAAAGATTACAATTAAAGCAAATATAGATACACTACCGCTCAAAAGTATTTGCTCATTTAAAACAATCGTTCTATAAATGTTAGAAACAATTAAAACAATGTAGTAATCATGTGAAAAGTATTTATGTTTACGTATCTAATTACCAAAAAAGTGTATGCACAGTAATGCTTAAAACTAAATTTTTCCTTCATCTATGTGTCCGCCTTTGTTTTTGATTATAGCGTTACAAAGCAAAAATGAAAAGCGAAATGTTAACAGATAACTGAAGAATATTACGAATACTTATTATGACATGGCACAGACCGAATAAACAATGGAAGCTCATGCGAATTTTGTCTCTAGGTGAATTCTAAGGAATGAGCTGCTGGTATTTTATGGTGTTTTCTATTTATATATTAGTGATAATCAAAATATTATTTCAAAATACTGCCTTATATAATAACGATACATGTGTACATAAAGAAAATATAGGTAAAGTGCCAGAGCTAAGGTTTTTATATAAAAATTATCAACGAAACCGATAGTGGGCAAATACTTTCGAGCGGTAGAGTATATTAAATTTAACAATGTAAAAATGTAATGGTTTTATTATTATTACAACAACAAAAATTGGAGACCTTTTAAAATAATGTCCTTTCTAAAGTATTTTCAATTTAGTTATAATAATTATATACTTTAGTTATAATAATTATATAATTATATAGTGTCCCAAAAATATTCGGCCAAACATTATATTTTAGAGATAAAAACAAACAAAAAAGTTTAAGGGGCACGCCTACCTAGGAGGGTTAAAAAAACTGCTTTTTGGAGAAATTAAAAAAAAAAACCGGTGCACTTTTATTAAAAAACATTAGTATACTGTTAAGGATACATATTGAACGTAATTCAGTTTTCTTTTTTGTTGAAAAATATTAAAAAATAAACGAGATATAGCCGATGCCCGCTAGTTAACTGTCGCTAGTTAACGATATCGAAAACTGCCGATAGCAAGTTACTGAATTCCGCTATTGGGGGCTTATTACGGTTTTTGAAACGAAGTGAAAATTTCGAAAGTGAGGAAATTCACTAGAGTATTTACAATTTCATTTGTCGAAATCTAATAAATCTGTTCACTTTTGTAATTTTCACCTTGTTTCAAGAACCATGATAGGCCCCCTGCTCTGAGCGCTACTTCGAGAAATGTACTTTATACATCTACAACTTTGTCAATTTTATTTTGGATTAACTTAAAATTTTCTAAAAATATTTTCAAGATGTACTACAAGATAATGTCAAAATCCAAAAATCAATTTTTTGAAAATTTCTAGGTAGGAGTGCCCTCTTAATAAACATCTGAACGTCTGAAAACCAACCATTAACACGTTTCACTAATTTAGGCTGCGTTTCGATATTCACTATCAGTATTGAAAATCTATGTTATATCTATGTAAATCTAGTTTACGTCACGTACACTATAGATTTTCAGTACTGACAGTGAATATCGGAACGCAGCCTCTTAAACTTGTAAACACATAACCAACATAATTACAAATAAATTAATATCAAACTCATATAGTTACTCATAATATAGTAACTCACAAGTTACAAGAACTATTCAAAGTGACTTCCTCCAACAGCAACACATGTTTCACGCCTTCTCAGGAATTGCCGAACTTAGTTAAAAATAATAAAAGAGTTCCGTTCGATATCAAACGAATTAACAATGCGCTCTCGAAGTTTATGAATATTTTGGATAGGTCCTGCAGCGTAACCTAAATGTTTAAGATGACTCTATAAATAAAAATCAATGGGATTGATATCTGATGAACAAGGGGCCAAGAAATTAAATCGTCTCTATCAATCCACTGTTCTTGGTAGGAGACGTTTAAGAAATGACGGGCAGTTAAAGACTAAAGTTATCCTCAGTACCCAAAGGTATTTTAGTTTAAAGGCAGCTTAGATCTTTCTCTCTTTACATATTTTAAAAAATTATTTTAAATATCTTGAAATTGAAATAACTCGTTATTGGTTCGTTTTCACACATGTTATTAAACTTTTTTTGTTTTTAGCGCTGATTACAAATTTGGCTAAAAATGGCGTATCACATCAAGTTTTTGAGAAAATCTCAGTTAAAGTTGCTGAAATAGGCGTTTTTTATATCTTTGCGTGAGTTATATTTTTCAATGGGGGGGAGGGTGCTCCAGAAAGCAATGACAACTCAAAATGAAGCTCAAGACTTATACTTCATAATAAAAATGCCAGAAGTCCCAGGCAGAAAAGATTTTATTAAAAAAAATGTGGTCGAAATATAAAAAAACATCATTTATCGCAATGTCCCCTAGTCATACGTCTCCAATTGTCCGTTACTAAACTACTAGTGCCAAAAACTACTCTAATTCTGTTCTTAAGTGATAGCAACCACAAAAACCTACACATACCCATTTCC